GATAGAGGTTGCCAAGTCCTCCGCAGATGTTCCAGAAATAGATCTATCCGTTTCAATTCACATTAAGCCACATATTCGTACACGCAGGGAGTTCTGTCTCTGTAACTTGTAATCCCTTTCTTTAAAATCAATTTTTAAACCAACGGGAGGGAAAAGAAGACCTGGTTGGTATGGTTATATCGCAGAGTCAGAATGTCTCTAGACCCAAGCAGACCTCTTTTTGAATAAAAGAAGAGAAAGGAAAGTGGGGATGGGAAGAGAAATGGGGGAATGAAGAGGCAGGTTGATTCTTCAGGGTTTTTCCTTTTTAAAAGAATTAAGAAGTGTTAACTTATAGACAAGGCGTTGCAGGAGGTATTTGATGTTCCACCTGCCCGAACATGTTTTCCAAGTATGGGGAAATAGCTTAGGGTTGCGCTGGCACGTTAGTTTGCACACCTGGAAGAGGAAATGTTCTCCAAACCGGATCGTTTCCCCTTTTTCGCACTCTCTCTTCCACACACACAAACCAGTTTTTATAGTGCTTTGTGCCTTGAAGATGTCACTGATGATTTAGATGGAAGGGAGTGAAGCTGGTTTTCTTGGACAGCTTTATACCAAGGGATAATGAAATGTGACTCTCTTAACTGGTGGCTTGTGATGTGAGGAAAGACCCGCTGAAGACAGCTTCTGCTTTTGAAGAGGATTGTGTTTACACATAGGTCAATATTCAGTTTGGGGTTAAAAGGTTAGCACTTGACCCAGGAAGTTCCCAGAAGAATGGTTCAAAAATGGATCTAGTTCCTTCATCCTCCAACTGCAAAAGATAAACAAGAATCTCTCTCTCTTTCAATCTTCCTACTTTGTGCAATCTTGCAGTTTTGCGGTCAAAAGATATAAAACATTCTACCTAACAATTGAAGAGAAGTTCAGAAGCCCCCCCCCCCGGAAATGAAAATAAAAAACATTAACGTCATGCCCACTACCAAAAGCATCCCCTCTCCAAAAGATATTGAACCAAAGAAGAACCAGAGATATGAGTATATTTATTACAGAGACTTGTAAGACCCGTAAAATTCTGTTCTGGATTCCATTGCCTTTCGTTTTCCCCTCTTCAGAATCTCAGAACCTCAAATGATTGTACAGAAAAATCAGAAAGTACTCGATCACAAAAGACAACTGATAGAACTCAGTGTTCGGTTAACTTAGTACATCAAAGCTTTGTGCATCATGCAAAGTTCCATACACGAATCACATAAAATATACATTCATTTGGCCTTTTATCACATTTGGGAATTTGGCTGAGAAGACTTCAAGTCTTAGGAAAGGTAAATGTGCAAAGGGAAGGGCTGTGGATTCCTATTATTTCAAAAGGTAACAGAGATTTCCCAGCAAAGATCTCGGGAAAAGAAGGGCCATTGGGGAAAAGATGGAAGCTAATAAGCAAGGTTTATTTAAAAGAGAAAAAAACCCTAGTGCAATTTCAGCTTTCTTTTCTAGTTTGCTCAAAGAAATGCAACTAGTCTATGATTCTGAGGTATCCGATTGAAAACACATTTTCATTCTCGACTTCTTCATTTTTTTGCTATAAAATTGAATCTAGTTTTGAGAATGTAATCACCCTGTTTAAGCTCATAATCTATCTAAACATCTCTAGAAAATCCATAAAAAGATAAATCTCTTGGACAAAGTATTTACAACCCACAGACTCATAGTACACAAAAACAGAGACATTAAATTAAAGCATGAATGTTTTAGAATTGTGTAAACACTTCTCAATAGTGCATCTCTTTCTGGAGTTTTGTGTGTTTTCTATGCCTTTGCTTTGAGGAAAGTCTACAACAATGTCCTTGGCAACTTTATTCTACTCTAATAAATTCTTATGATTGTTCTCACAAGTAGTCTAAAGAAGAAAACTGATAAATATACGTTGGCCTTCAAAATTAAAGAAAGAAGAGTAATGCTGGACAATGAAGGACACAGCTGGAACGATAGCATATTGAAGCTGTGATCCTAAACTCTTGGACACTCTCCAGTAAAAAGCAGCTGTAACCAAATCCCACTGAAATGAACAGGCTTCAAATTAAACCTGATGAATTCCCACCCCATTGCTTTCCCTAGGCAACTAAACTAAATGCAACTGGATTGTGCCCAAGGAGTTGAATCAAGAAGACTTGGCTCCACATTAAAGAGTTCAGGATTGTGCTGGGTGGGATTTCTAACAGATGATTGGGAACCAGGAAATAATCTACCTGAGAATGAAAAAAAATTTCAGGCAGAAGGTGGATCAAACACAATAAATCACAGGTAGACTGTGCCAAGGAGGCTGGGTGCATGTGCGTAGTCAATTTGAGGTAGTAAGAGTGTCTGAGGTAGAGGAGGCGGGGGAGGGAGTACATGGGGATGGGCTGGATTTTTCTGAGGACTCCTCAGCTTTTTCTTCACTTCCTGTCAGTGTGGTTGGAGAAATGGGCAGCAATCCCTCTTTCTCTCTCTTCTTCTGTTTCATTCTGCGGTTCTGGAACCAGATTTTGACCTGGGTCTCGTTCAGTTGCAAGGAAGCCGCGATCTCCACTCGACGAGCTCGGGTTAAATACTTGTTGAAGTGGAATTCTTTCTCCAGTTCCGTCAGCTGCTTGGTGGTGAAATTTGTCCGAACCGTGTTGGGTTGCCCAACGTAACCGTACTCACCAGCTTTTCCTGAGAGGGAGAGGGGAGGAAACAAGCACAACAACAGCCCACACAGGGATGGTTAAAAACACGAAGCCATGGTGTGTACAGTTGATGCGAATCACAACAGAGGCTCAGACAGGTAAACAAATAGGCACCTCTTTGCATGAAATGAACCCTGGGGCTCAATCGAACCCTTGTTTCCCCGGAAAGAAAGACCTTGTGAATTGGTAAGGGACTCAGGCCCTACTCAGGAAGCAAAAACACTTGCAAGTCTACCCTTTAAAACATCAACGCCTGACGATCCAAGCAAACTTGGGGGAGTGGTACGATCCAAAGCGTGGGAGGAGAACACACGCCCCGAAGTGAGCATTTCAGTAGTTTCCCCAATCCACCAGCATGCCTTTCCCCCCACTGTCTTCAGGAATCTCCTTGAAACGCTTACTTTGGGGGACCTTATTGTTCTCCCCTCTTTGGGCCATAACAATCTTACCACGTGCAAGCAACTTGGGTGGACCAGTCTTAAACTGGTTTGTTGGAAAACTAAGAAACAGGTGGGCTTCACGTTCTCAGCCACAGGCCTCCCCTTAAGGATAACCGCTGGTCTCTGTATAGTCATCTAAACCTTAAAAAAAAAAAACCCAAAAAACAAAAACAAAAACCAGACCTGAACTTTTCCAAGTCTAGCAATGCGAACGTGACTAACCTGTTTTAGGAGGGTTTCGCTTCACTTTCATCCAGTCGAAAGTCTGGGCTGGAGGAGAAGTCTCTGAAGACGGAGAGCCACAAGTTTCCTGGTGGTTGGAATGGAGAGGAGACAAGGGGTGACTGTAATTGCTTAGGGTTAAGTTCTGCTGCTCTTCTCCATAAGACGAGTGGATATACTGAGTGGAGCTTACCGTGCCGCCAGCGTAAGTCTGGGGGTGCTGGACCATGGAGGAAGAAACGCTTCCAGAGTAGAGCCCAGGCGGGCACTGGGGGAAACTCCCATTCATTTCTGCCTCTTGGGTGAGTGGGTAATGGTGGCTGTAGCCCCCTGCGCTGAAGTTCTGCCCTCCATAGCCTGGCCCACAGCTGGCGTAGGACATCCCCAGATTAGGGTGGTGGGGATGATGATGATGCTGGTAGGTGGCACCCATCTGGTGGTGGGGATGGGGGCTTATCGGGACCCCCCTGCCCACGAGAAAGCGGTCGTCCTCGTTGCCGTTGTTGGCACTGACAGCGCAGGACTGGAAAGTGGTCCTGGTAATCCCATGGTCGGGGTGGTGGTGGTGATGGTGGTGGTGGTGGTGGTGGTAGGAGGCACGGGAGGGGCAAGTGCCGGACTCGCCGTTGAGGATGGGCGGATAATCGAGGAAGGAATTCATCCTCGCCGTGTCCATCTATCACCGGCGGACCGGCGCTTCGGAGTCCTGGGTGACCGTGCCAACTTTCTCACTTCCTCCATTGGGGGCCAGAAGAAAAATGATATGAATGTACAGTGAGACGACGGCCACGTGAGGGCGGCAGCCAATGGCGGCCCCTCCTGCCAGAGTTGCCCTGTTCCTTCCTGGTGATGGATCACCCAGGCGGTGGCATTTAAATTCCGAGCGCTCCTCCATCAAGGTGACGCGCCGCCACCGACACCGACACCACCTCCCTCCCTCCCTCTCCAATCCTC